TAAAATCAAAACTTTAACTAAAAGCAGTTTATAGTGGACAGTCATGTCCTAGGCTAGCATTTTTCCCCATAAAGGTCAGTCTTTACCTTAACTGAGCCTATTGTCTTTTTGCTCCTAAGGTTACATCCTCATGAAATGTCAGGGTAACTTGTAACTTCTCTTTTTCTGGACCCCTCAGGGCACAATCAAATTCCTTCATTGTGATTGTTATCATGTTAATTGTTGACTGTTAACTATCCTGCGCCCACCTAAGTAAAAGAAGCCAGTATCTATCATTTTACTTTTTATTCAATCACAGAGGTCCCCCCCTTTGCTTTCTCCCACCTCCCTAAACCATCACCAGTGGATTTCATGTAACCACTTCCGTCTCCTCCTTTGATGGTAATGTATAAAACAAGGCGAAGAACTGCCATTCTCTGGAGCATTATCTCAATATGCTGAGATCCTGCTCCCGGCAACTGTCTACAGTTTGGCTCAAATAAACTCAAAAAAATCCTTTACAGGTTTGAATGTTTGTACATTAACAGCTGGAAGATATAAAAATTCTCTTTCATCCTTTTGCCCCAGACAAAGAAAACCTCAGTATGGCTATAGGTAGAAATAGCGTCTGCCAAAATTTAAGGCAATATTGATGCCCTCATTTTCCTCTGCCAGAGGCAAACAGTGTTGAATCCGAACAAGCATGTTGTGCCAATGAAGAATTTAGTTGGCTCTGAATCTTTCTCAGAATGGAGGGGCTTCAACAGGAATAGGCACGGTGGAATTAAAAGGAGGGCAAGAACATCCTCGAACTCTGAGCCGTTTTGAGTTCCCAAACGCAGGGCAAGCAGTGCTACAACAATTCATGGAGCCAAGCAGCACAGCAGGAGAAAGCCTGAAGTCCAACACACCTGTGTTTGCATCCGGGGGCTGCAAGTGACTAGCTGTGTGTGGTTTGGGGTCATTACCTCTGAACTCTGGTTTCCTCATTTGTAAAATGGGGAAAATAGCATCTACTTCATAGGTTTGTTGAGATGATAAAATGAGAAAACAGATTCACCCATTCACACGTTGAACAAATACTTAACTTAAGATGTGCCAGATATCGCTGTAAACAATGGGGACAGAACAGATAAACATAATACAGGGAGACCGGGAACACACTCTTTGCAAATGCATTTCTAAGGGGAATGACCTGTTTCCTTTGCACCACACAAAACACAAACCCCTAACATTCCCACCGCCATCACCACCATGGGACCCCGCTGAACTTCGTATGTAATCAGTGGCCTTGCCCCAATGCCCTCTAGTGAAAGCAGTCCCAACACGTGCTCCAGGAACCAAAGAGAGGCAAAGTGGGGGCGGGTGATAGGGACTGACAGCCAGATGTTGACAGCCACAGAGAGGATTCTGACAGTGTTTGCTGTATAGGCGCCCACTGAGGAAAATCACACAAGGAGTCCACACCGTAAAGTGGGCAACCACTTCCAATATCAGTTTAAGTAAAGAAAACCAGTTCTTCAGAGGAACTGGATCACAAAATGTTTCTCTCAGGCTCTCGATCCTAAGGAGTAAAGGGAAGAAAGATGAAGGTAAGACGGAGAGTGGGGCCGGAGTGGTCAGAATTATAGGCATTTTCTAGAATTATAGGCATTTTCTCCCAGGCCTATCCCACACAAGGACTAACTCCGGCGATGGAGGCTGAACGCAACACTTGTGGCTGTTAATAGCATACCCACAGGTTCCTACCTTTCTTTCTTTTTTTTTCTTTTTTTCTCCCATTTCCTCTTCATTTCCATTTATTCTCTTGTCCTCTCTTCATCTTGTCTTCTTGATTTTACCTTGTTCCGGGCTATGAGTCAGAAAGGCATGTGCTCCCTAACCAGCCCACCTCTCCTCCTGCCCAGACTTGCCCTCCAGGCCTCCCCTGCAGGCCAGCAGGCTGCAGTCTGCGGTTTTCTTCTCACCTCTGGAGCCACCCCTCTCCCTTCTGTGTCCTTGAACTTGAGAGCTGGCTACTCTGGAACTGGAATTAGAAAATTCCCACTAAATTTGCATCCATCTGCTTGCAGTTGGGCATTATCTGGGCAAAGAAGGGCATAGAGTCACATTCAAAGCAATGTAGGTTTTTAATGTGAAAATAGCAATAGCTAACCCCCCAGGTTGAGAGTCTGTGGGACCATGCCAAAGGGACTGTACCTATGTGTGACTGCCAGTCTCTTCCACATCCACCCCTGAAGTCCCTTGAGAACTACAAGCAGGCCCTTTGGGTTCTCTTGAACTTGAACTATCGATATATGACAGGAATATAAAAATCCACCTATTTCCTCACTCCAATCCCCCTCCAGACACCCTCTGGCACACTTACATAAACACGTATGTATTACATTTGAAAGAAAACCAAGCATCAGGAAGCACACCCTGAATGTGGGGGTCCCAGGACTCTCCCCACTCTCACCCCATTCAGAGTTCTAAAACAGTAAGTGCTGCTGGAATTGTTATGCCTTTTCAGGGTCAAGTTTCATTTTTCAGTTTTCACAGGCATAATTGCTTAACCCAGTAAAGCGTGTAGAGCCCATTGAATTTCCTTATCTCTGCCACAACCCGAACACATTACTAATAATAGCGATAACAATAAAAATTCATCTGGCATGAACTTACGGCTTCTTGAGGTTCTTAGCTGCCAAAGCCTGCAGAGCTGTGACACATTCAGCACAAAATTCTTCCACTCATTTGACAAGAGTCTCAAAGTCCACTCTCTGAACTGCAGCTGAATACAATTCCCAATGAGAAGCTGTTTTCTTCTATGATTATCAGTGCCCTTATTGCTAAGGCCCCAAAGATCAAACACACACACACATACACACACACACACACACACACACACTCCTAACTATAGTTTCAAACCTTATCATCACCCTTATTATTTTCTTATCAATGAAAATGCACCATATGCTTCTCAGTATTATGTATACATACAACCAGATTGCCAACAAAATAATAATGCATGACCTTTGCCAGGCTGAGAGAGTTTAGAAGTGCCTCACTTTCAGAAACCTCTCCATTCAGGTAAAGCAGAATGGCAAGGAATGACGTGAGCTGCTGGTCTGCCCTAGGAACCAGCCATCTGAACTTCCCTGAGTGGCTGGAAAGAGGCTGCCCACCAAGGGTGGGCTCTGGCCTGAGGCCTCATGGAAGGGGAGGGGGAGCAGAGGCAGGACACCGAAGCCCCAGTCTCTTAAAGCTGCTTCATGCAGTCTCCCCTAGGACCTCCTTCCCATCCCACCCCCAACCCAAATTCGTTTCTCTTAGGCCTTTTCTGTTGTCCTACAAGTTGTTATTATTATTATTATTATTATTATTATTATTATTATTATTATTATTATTTTGGAGTCTGGGTTGGCTCTGTTCTCCTCCCGCCAGGTCCTCTGTGGAACTGTGGCCGTGGCCATGACCCTGGACACCGGCACGAGGGTCTGTGGAGCCCAGACTGCGGACTGCCCGCTGGAGCGGGGGACGTGTGTCCGGGTCGGTGGCGGCGTGTGCTGGGGAACAGACAGCACTGGGCTGGCTGCCAGGCACCCACCGCCGCCCAGCGCTAAGGAAAAGAGCAAGAAAGCAAAACAAACCCAAAGGGTGCAGAGAGGAGATGAAGGGGAACTGGAAAGTCAGTGGGGGATTCCGGAGCTGGAGGACAGGGAAGCACCGTGCTTTTGCTGGGCTGGGCAGCCTGGGCGAGCCGGCGGGCGGGCACACCTGTCACCCTAGGCGGCCTCAGTGACAGGGGCGCGGGCCCTGAACTCACTAACTAAGGACACCTGAGGGCAGCTCGGGTGAGGTGTCCGCAGGCAGGGCTTCTTGCTCTAGGCGTCTACCTCTATTTTTTCCATTTCCATACCGGCCACAGCCTGGCCTCATGACCTGGGGTGGGTGGTGAGAGTTCTGTTGGGCGATTCTGTGGCTGGAGACAGCCTGGAGGACTGGCGAGGGCAGGAGGGGAGAGAGAGATGGGGGCACTGGAGAGGAACTGAGGCAGGGGTGTGCACCGCTTTCGGGCGTGGGGTGGGGGTGGGGGGATCTCTTCATGTCTTGAGAGCTCCCTAGGTGAGCATCCTTCTACCCCGGAGTCCCAGGGGCTGCGGGCAGGGCTCACAGGTGGAATCTGTGCGCAATCCACCCCGCGCGGCTCGGACCGCACCTCGCGCGTCCCGGGAACTGCAAGGTCCTCCCGACCGCTCAGGTCCGCGGGTGCGGACCGCCTGGGACATCAGGGGTGGCGTGACCCCTCTCTAGGACCCCAGCCCCGCCTGGGTGCCCAGGGCCCATCGTGAGGTGCGTCTCTTGGAGCTCTGGCGCTCTGGGCTGAGACTCTGTCCCCAAGCCCCGGGTGGAAAGACTAAGTCCTATGCGGAGCCGAAATGGGACGGGGTTGCACCAGGCTCCCCCCTCCTCTGTCCTGGGACCATGCGCTCCTTTCTATACCCCTGCCCCTGGGCCACGGGCCACGCACCGCGGCGCTCAAGGGCGGAACCTGGGTACGGCGCACAGCCTGGGCGAGCGGGCCTCTACCCCATACCCCTGGAAGACGGGCCATCCAGGCAGGCAGGACCCTGGGGGGCAGGAGAGGGCGAAGATCTCCCTGTCTTTTCAGGGACGGCATCTTGGGGCGCGGGAGGGAGCCGGGGGCAGTGGAGGGGTGTCGGGCTGTGAGAGGGCGCGGAGACCCGGCAGCAGGCGCAGCTCCCGGGCTGCCTTCCACCTTCCCCGGGACTCAGTGACCCCCGGGCTCACAGCCCTGCCCTTGTGGCGCCTCGTCCGTCCCCGCCGGCCAGACCCGCCATCGCTCCCTGCAGCCCTCCCAGCCCCGGCGCCAAAGTTTCCGTGAGAGCATCTCACTTGTGGGGGGGCCCCTCGTCCAGTTTCCCATCCCCGATCCCCCTCCACACCTGGGTCTGGAGGTGGGGAGGGACCCCGCGGTGCCAGGGCCCCGGAGGGAGCAGGCAGGCTGGAGGCGCTCTTACCTGCGGCGGGTCTGGCTCCGGTGCCTCCCCGGAGGGCGACTTCCTCGGCGCGGCCGGCGGGCGCGGGCGCGGGCGCGGGCGCGGGCGCGGGGAGCTGGTAGCGGGTTCGGGGCGGCGGGCCGGCTCCGGCGCGAGCTGCGCTGCGCAGGGAGGGCTCAGCTTCCTAAGCCAGCAGCCCGCTCGCTTTCTCCCTTGATCTTGCGAGAGAAAAAGGAAAAGATTAGTTGGAGCCGCGACGCCGGGGGAGGGGTGGGGCGGGGGAGGCGGGGAGAGAGCGGACCCGGAGGTACCGGCGGGAGCGGCAGGGCTCCGGGCGCCCAGCACTGGGCTCCCCCGGCCCCTCCGCCGGCCAGGAGCCCCTCGGCGGCTTAGACGGGAGGGAACCCGGCGCTGTCCCCGCCTTTCGCACCAAGCCACCCGAGAAGCAAAAAAAAAAAAAAAAAAAAAAAAAAGGACTTTGGAGCCTGGCTTTCAGGGAGAAGGCGAGTCTGGAGAGCAAAATAGAACCGAGACCTGCAGGGACCCGCGAGCTGGGCGGGATGCATTTCTTCGCCCAAGTGCCGGGGAAAGTAGTAACCGGAGTGGCGGCGGCACCGATTTAGGGGTGCCCGTGGCTATTTCCTAGCGGGATCTGCGGTTGCAAGACTCTGGCCAACCCTCAGGCTGGCGCGTGTGCGTGTGCGTGTGTGTGTGCCCGTGTGTGCGCGCGGAGTGTCTGTGTCTGTGTGTGGGTCTGTGTGTCTCTGCACCAGGCGCCTTTGGTAGAGAGCAGAAGAGCGGGTCGCTTCGTGTGTGTTGTGTTCCATTAGCTGCAATGGGCAGACAGTTTCTGGCGAGAACGTTTACAATTTTCTTGCAATATGACAGGATTAATTGCTGGTGAAGGCATTCCTCCAATGAAATCTCCCCTGCTCTCTGATTTGGCGGTTCTTCTGAGCAACTATGACAGCCTTTTTTCTCCAGGCTCCTTTCCGCTCCTCTCCACTTCCATGCACACAGCCCCGCTCTCCATCTGCAATCTCCACACCAGAGCCTTTGCAATCACCACTGCCGCCGCCACCACCACCACCACCACCACCACCACTACCATCACCAGCCCCGTTCCTACGAGTATAGGCTTGCTCTGAGAGTGGCATGACAGTCTGTGAAGACGCAATGTTGCTTTGCGATTGCCGAAGACACTTGAACCCAGTTTTTTCCAGGTGGGAAAAGGTTAGAATAAATCCGCTATGCTATGCGAACACATAATGGTGTTAAACTATTCACGGGTTGTTCATTTCTTTGGGGCATTGATAAATGTGCTAGACTCTAGATATTTTTTCTTTAGAGATATTTTTTTTCTTATTTTAAATACAGATCAATGCCCATGTTTTCAACTAATAGGCATTCTGTTACAAAGTATTCATGGAATTTGGGATCTCCATAAAAAAAAAAAAAAGATGCCAGCTCTTTGTACTCACATCGGCCTTAGGTTTTTATTTGTTTACTTTAATGAGAAATTCTTTCAAAGAGTACTTATTATTCTAGGCACTGACCCATTAGATAAAGGCACAATGACAGTTCTGAAGTACAAGACTTGCTTTTATGAAAGTGTACGTGTACATGAAGACAACATCAACATATGATATGTTATACAGGCTGCATTTTCTCTCGCCCAACTTTGCCAAGCAAATGAAAAAAAAAAGTTGAAACCTTAAATTGAATAGCACAATATTAGATATATCCCTTTTCGATCACAAAGACAAACAAGGAGCAGGTTGAAGATGCATTGGTTTAATATAGTTAATATAGCAAATTAAATTGAATTCTCAATGCCCAGTCCTTTGCTAAGTGTCAAAACAGCGTAGAGAATAGCAAATGTTACTCTCTGTTTTTATAAGCTTCCAATCTTACTGCTAAGGAAAGACGCTCATATGGAACACCTATATAATGGTTGACAATCAAGACAATTACATAGCAATATAGATTCATTAATAAATGGAAATCTTGTAGTTCAGAGTTTCTGCCTTTTCTGATAGCTCGCAGCCAACAGCAAGCAGGACTTAGCACAAACTTGTTTTTGCTCGATTGAAGTCACCCTACAATAATGCCTCCACCCTCACATCCCACCATCACTGGGAGATGTTAAGATACTTGCTAGAAAATCAAGACAGCTCTGTTCAGTCTTGATCTCACCTCCCACAGTGTTTGGTCCATTACATTAAATATCTTATTTTGGCATTCCTTCTCCTTTAGGTGCTCTTTAATAAATGAACCCACAATTTCTGTCTATACTCCGTTAAGCCTCTATAAATCCATGGAGTTGCTTGGCTCTTCTTGAAAACACACACACACACACACTCACACACTCAGCCGGAAAGAAAAGGGTCACAGACCTCTGACCAGGAATACAGAAGAGGAAATCTCAGTGATCTGTTGCTATTTTGTCCTTCCATTCAACTAATACCTTTTTACCTATAGGACTACACATTCCAAAAAGAGAAAGAAAGCAAAAAGTCAATGAAAGCTAAGAAATGTTTTCTTAAACTTTAATAAATCTAAGTCTGAGTAAGTGAACTACTATGTCCAATAGGAGTCACTATACTTATGTACTTTGAAGAGGAACTGCAACTAGAAGCAGCATTTTTAGCAAACTATCAACAATAATGTCCATTTTCTTTTTCTAGATCATCAATGAAAACACCTTTTTATCTATACTTGTAGCTATGCCACTCATTGCCATGTTAGAGAAATCATTCAACTTTTCCATACCTCAGTTTCTTACTCTGTAAAAGGGACATTGTAAGATTTCCTGGGGTTGTTATAAGGAATAATAAGGTTAGTTCATGGAAGGATTTTCAGTAGTTTATGGCATCTAGCAAATTAGCCAAAATTATAAGAGTGCGAGTCAGGAATTTAAAGCACAGGTTTTTGGGTCATGTGTCTGACCTACTAGGTCAGACATTTAAGAATCAAAATGATCAACATCATGCAATAAGCATATTAAACATTATCCATCATAATACTAATCCCAAGAAGCCCAATTATTTTCCACCTTTAATTTTTTTCTATGCAAATAAAAATCATATAGGTTCTGAGCATTTTATTTTTTCTCTCTTAAGGCAGGTCATTTTCTCAGATTAAAGAGTACTCCTCCCTCCCAAGAATACAGCTTTTACATTTGTTAGTGACCCATGATGTGGAACGTTTTCAAGAGTGCTTTTTGTAAAGACTCTGTAGGACGCATCTATGGGTTTCCCTTTATCCACACGCCTGTTTTCCACCTCAAAGAACAGGAATAAATTAGTAATTTCCACTTGTGAAGCCAAGCCTCATTACCTACAACCTCACAGAGCTGGTTTTAGGCATGCGCTGAAAAGTGCAGGTGCCTGAGTGGATGACTTTGAGTCTTTGACAAAACTCACTTCTGAGTAAGCCTGGACATGAGCTTGGCACTAAGGTCAGGCGAGGGGGCATGACTGGTGGGTCTCGCTCCTGGGAAGGTGGTGCATATTTGAAGGTGTGGTGCCACCTTGATTTCAGTGCAGCAATAATTGGGCTTCAGTAATTACATGCACAAATCAGCGCTCTATCATTAAAAGTGGATTAAGAGGGTGACAAGTTCAACTCGAGTGATTTCCCACTAGGTATGGTGGCCATAACGTTTTCTCCATTTTCTGCTTTCAAAGAACCAAGAAAATGAAAGTGGGAGTTTTGCCTATACAGGGAAAATGAGCCACAAGCAGGAGGAGATGTTGCTTTGTTCTTCATTTTCCACTCACACAACTGTTTAAGAATTGAGCAAGGGAAGCACAGCATTTGCCAGCAGGAGGTTTGGGGGAGGCCGATTTATCTCATGTATATGAAGGGGCTCAGAACAGGCCTCCCCAAGATGCACTGCCTTGACACATGGGCTATTTCAAACTAAGGCAATGAAGACCATACAGGCTCAAGAAACTGCTTTTACCTCTCCCTTAAATAATTTAAATTGTGAGCCTAGCCCATAAGGAGCTATTATCACAAATAAAATTTTATGTTCTATCGGTATGGCAGGAAGAATACCTAATTACTGAACATCTGCTTTCCTTACCATCCTGTAAATTATCCTACCCCTGCAGCCCCTGAAGCTCTAGGCCCCTCTCCCATTCCTTGGCTCAAGATGCTAGCATGTATATCTTATTTTAATGTTCTGTCTTGGATTCTTTGTGTGTGTGTGTGTGTGTGTGTGTGTGTGTGTGTGTGTGTCTAGGGGGTGGTTCTCATATGTATGAAATTAAACTGAATTTTCCCTTGTTAGTTTGCCTATGTTTATTTGATTATTAGACCAGTCAAAGAACCTCTGTTAGGCATAGGAAAAATTTCCACCCCAACATATGCCAGGGGAACCTTTCTCTTCCTTGATCTCAGTTTGAAAAATAACAGTTCTAGGTAAACGTCCACTAAATTACAATTGCTGCCTCAAATGAGTTCTTCAGTATCCCTCACTGTTTTTGAAATATTTTAAAATATGTTTTAATGACTTTTAGAGAGAGAGGAGTGGGAGAGAGAGAAACATTGATATGAGAGAGAAATATCAATCAGCTGCCTCCTGCACAGCCCCTACTGGGGATTGAGCTCCAAACCTGGGCATGTGCCCTGACCAGGAATTGAACCAGCAACCTTTTGGTGTATGGGACAGCACCCAACCAACTGAGCAACACGAGCCTGGGCCTGCTCTAAAATCTTGTTAATAACAGCACAATAAACACACCTTTCTTCTTAGAGTTATTTATTTGTCCCTTCAAACCTTCTCAGAAAGAAATTTAAATGCTTCTATGCTCTAGCTAGAAAATATGATCTCTTTTCTCCTAGAAATATGATCTTTTTCTCCTAGAAAATCCTAAGCTTTCCTTTTTCAAACACCACAATAGGAGTTTCCATGTACAAATGGGATGGATTCCCAGTGATGTTTGGTGACAGCCTAACAAACAAGGATTTGCTATTTTTTTCTTTTCCTTTTTTTCTTGAAATTTGGCATCACAGCTGTCTTCAACTCTTTCTCTCCTAGCAGTGGCAGTGTGATCCAAAGCCTGAAAACATTTACTGCTGCCGAGTCTAAAATATTTAAAATACGGGGTTATTTTTCAAACCGGGAATGGGAAGGAGGGGGATAACACTACCCTGCAAAATATGAAGCAGCTGCAGTGGTGGTAAATCAGTGTTAAGAACAAAGAAAAAAAGTCTTTTGGGAGTAAGTTGACTTAGAGAAGTAGTGTGTGTGTGTGTGTGTGTGTGTGTGTGTGTGTGTGTCTGTGTGTGTATTCCTCCAACTGGAGGTAATGCTGAGTTCCTCTTCAAAGACAGGGGAACTGACACAGTCAGCCACATCCACCTCACTTTAGACTTTGAGGAACAGCTTAAACTTCCCTTTTTCACGGCTTAAGTCAGATGCTGGATGATCAGATGGAGATGCAATTGTAGCACCTTCAAAGTGAAGGTCTTATCAGACTCTTGCATGTGGATGGAGCCCCAAATTATCTGAATCAATAGCTCTTCACGAAGGAAGGTGTAGTTTCTAGGAATACTCAGAATACTTTTAGTCTGTAAGGAAGCCTAATTTCTCAGATTTTAGAGTGAACTCAGTAGCTCATGGGAATCCACAGAATTCCTCAGATCCTGAATTTACCTGGTTCTGAAGCTAACTAAAACTTGCCCTTCAAGGTGGAAATTCTAACACTTCAGGAAAACATACTGGGAGACACTATAACAAAGGATAACCTTCTCATTAAATTTTATCTACCCCCTATTTATTTTTTTTTCCTTTGTATTGAATTTATTGGGGTGACACTGGTTAACAAAATTATACAGGTTTCAGGTGCACAGTTCCACAGCACACCATCTGAACACTGTATTGTGTGTCCACCACCCCAAGTCAAATCTTCCATCAGCATCTAACTCCCCTATACCTTCCTCCACCTTCCCCTACCCTGCAGTCACCATGCTGTTGCCTGAGGGTGAGTGAGATCATTGTGATGCAGAAAGCAGTGTTTTTGCCAAACAAGACTCAGCTGAGCAAGTCTGATAATACCACTCTGGATAGACCTTTTCACTTAAAAAAAAAAAATCCTTCCTTCAACTAGTGAGCCCAAAGAGGCATGTCCTAAAGCATTCTTTATGTTACTGTGCCCAATAAGATGGCTCCTGGAGACTTTGTCCTTTCTTCCTCATTTACTCAGCAAGGTGACTGGCTGTGGCTGAAGGATCTCATTTACCAGACCTCAGGGTA